ATATTTATATTTATAATATAAAAATATATTAGAATAAAAAATAAAAAATATAGATGATTATACATTAGATCATAATTATTTATTTGTCTAGTTTTATTTAATTTTTTTACTTTTAATTAACAATAACTTAAGTAATGTAACTGGCTTGTCTTTATATTACATTTTAATTTTTAATTACTTATCATTTTTAAATTATAATCTTATAAGAAAATTATACACTATATTATCTAATTTTTTTATATTAATGTCACAAGATAGCATCAAACAAAAAAAATCATATAGCATCACATACATAGATATATTTTATATATTATAAAAGTTAAAAATAGAATTTTAAATATATTATTTCTCTTCTTTTCATTTTCCTTTTCCCCATCATTAGCCATTGAATTTGAAACATCAACACTGGCATCAAGCTTTAAAGTTATCATTATTAAATGTAGAATTTGAATTAAAAAATTAGATTAGATGAAATATCATTTTATAAATAAATAAATTTAAATATCACATGTCTAGTTATTATAAACAAGTAGTGTCATTATTTAAAATATCAATTTAATCATAACATATTTGAAAATAGAGACTCATTACCACATTATATAAATTCCAAATTAAAATATCAACATTAAGTTTTTGAATGAATTTATCACTTCACATAGAGATATATATTGGTCAATTCAGTTAGATTCGATGTTAATTGACTAAAATCAATATTAAATCAAACTAGCCTCAATAGATGGATCAAATCAAACCAAACATTACTTGATAATAAAATTAACATATAATACGGTTTGACTTAATTCTTTAGTCCAACTCATTAGCATTAAATAATACCTTAACCTTATCTTAAAATAATGTTACAATTTAACCATAAAAGATATTAAATAAAAACTCATTACATTATTTTATATATTCATTATAAAATCACAATAATACAACAAAATTAATGTATTAAAATGTTAAATATTGGATTAAACAAAAAACAAAAAATTATGATGATAATATTTAGTTACTATTAATTGTTTAAAAGTCAAAATTTTAGCAACGATATTGAAAGTCGCAGCTAAAAGTATCACTTTTTGCAGTGACTCTAAAAAGTCACCGCTAATCAGTGACAAAGAGGTGACATGCACTTATCATCGCTGAAAGTTTGATAATCAGTGATGACTTTATATTGTTACCACATAAAGTTATCCTTTTAGCAGCGACTTTGAATATTGTTGCAGAAGATGAAACTTTAAGTGGTGACTTTATTGTCATTATAGATTATTCATTTTTAACAATGACTTTTTAGAGTCTCTAGTAAAAGTCTTTTTTATTTTTGCAGTGATATAATTAGTACTATTAATTTTCTCTGAAAAAAGGAAGTTGGATATATGACTGTTTGTAAAGAAAATAACAAGGAAAAGTGACAATTAAAGACTCCATAAGAACATTAATGATAATTATAAACCCTGATTATTGAAATTTTAATAATAGACTATGGTCTTTAATTGTAATAAAGTATCTATTATTAATTGGCTTGAGATTTATAATAGACTTTGTAAATTTCCAACTTACACTATAAAGATTTCGAAGTATCTATTTTTTATTTCTCGAACAATAACAAAAAATTACAAGTGATTAGTTTGCAATTCATAACTAACTCTAATGAATTCTCAATTCATGTTACAAATAATCTCAAGTTTCCTAAGCAATTTATTTACATATTGATAGCAAAAAAATCACAAGCGATTATAGCTTGCTATTCACAACTTACTCTCATAAATTTTTAATTAACGTTACAAATAATTTTTAAGTATATTTTCTTAATTTTTCAAGTAATTTATCTATATATTAATAGAAAAAAATTGAGATTCACACTTAGCTTCCATAAATTTACGATTGACAATAATAATGTCAAATGTATTTTATTGATTTTTCAATTAACTATTCACTTTTTTTTAATTGCAATGACACGTTATTTAGATTTCAATAATCCATGGTATATAATTATCATTAACGTTTTTATGGGTCAGTCATTTTCCCAAATAACAATAGGGTTTGGTTCCATTTATAATGTGAACCAGTACCCATACTCACTACAAAAAACTTGACTTTTGGCGGCGACAAAAAGTCACCTCCAAAAATCCAAATGTTGCCGCTAAAAGTTTTTAGCGGCAACTTTCCGCCACTAAAAATTATCACTATAACAATCGTCGCTAATAGTTTTTGGCGGCGACAATATTTGTCTTCGCCAAAAGTTCTTTTGCCACTAAAAGTTTTTTTAGCGGCAACAAATGCCACTACCAAAAAGACTAATTGTCGCCGCCAAACTTTTTTTAAGAAATAATAATTTATTTTTATACCACGTTACCTACCATATATGCAATAGATTATGCCACGTCACTTGCCATCTTGTGTCACGTCACAGTCCATGTATTCAACAGATAATGCCACATAACCTAGCCATCTCATGCCATGTCACATGATACATGTGCACTTCCTCAAGCCACCTCATGTGCCACGCCACCATCTCGTGCCATGTCACCTACCATGTGTGTGCCCCTTCAAGCCACCTCACATGCCATGCCACCATCTCGTGCCACATCACCTGTCACGTGTGTGACTTCTCAAACCACCTCACGTGCCACATCACCATCACATGCCATGTCACATATTTGTTGTGAAATATGGCAAAGCCAAGGTTTTAACCTTTGACATCTCCCTCCTCCAAACTTAAGCCTCCCTTCTTTGCCAGTTGAACTGAAATGTACCTGCAGTTATTATATGCGAAATTAAATATATATTATGTAACTGCATACACATATATCAAATAATATATGATTAAAAAGATATACACATATTATATTTTATTTTCAATTATTAATATGACAAAATGATTTATATGAATATTTAAATTATAATTTTAATAAAATATTTTTTAACCAGTAAATATTATATTTTTAGGAAAATGAACTTAAAATAAATAATTTTTAAATATTAAAATAATATTCTTATATACATTGTAATAAATTTTTAAATTATATTTTTATTTTTTTAAATGAAAATTATTAAGTATATAATTTATTATATAAATGTATTATATTATTTTATGTTAAATATCTTTTACTTTTTTCTTCTCCATATTTTTTCAAAAATTGATAAACTAAATGATTAAATTTTTATCTTCTCTCAAAGTAACTAAATATTCCCCCTCTTTTAATAAAAATATATTATATAGATAATTTTTAATACCTTAAAAATTATTTTAATAAACAATTAATTTTAACCACATAAATTTTGTTAATAGTCATTTTGAATAATTTTGAAAATGAATACTAATAACTTTTGCAATATATGATAATTACAAGAATCTCATATGTGATCAATCTAGTTAATATCTAATCATCTTTAATCTTATATAGAAAGGTGGATTTGAGTAGTTATTCATATTATTCTTAGTAATAATTAGTCATAAAATATTATTATAGCAATGAAAACCTAAATATACTAGGAGGAATTACATGAAATCCTTGTCCAAAAGTCATTAGAGCTTAGTAGAAGAAGTAAATACTATATGTATATCAAGCTAAGCATAAAGTGTGTAATATGCTAAGTAATCTATAATATCATTAGTATATTACGATATTTGTATAACTTTAACTTCCTAATGCCATTTATATATTTGATTGTAGGTAACAATTTATGTATAACTTAACCTAATTATAATTGAAGTAATAACCCATTAAGATTTTAATTTATCATATTAAAATAATAGCTTAATAACATAATTCTTAAAAAAATATGAGCTATATATGTCTAAAAAATGATTATGAATAATATAAAATTAAAAAAAATTTAATAATTCAACTTAGCAGACTTTAACTATTATTTTTATTTCACATTCCTATATATAATTTATTTCTAATTCTATACATAAAATAAGAAATTTAATTTCATAAATATATTTTGAATAATTTTATTTAATTTTTAAATTATTTTTTATAAAAATACTTTTTTTGGCGACAAATATCGCAGCCAAAAGTAAATTATATTAATTATTTTAATTTTTAATTTATTTTTATAAAAATACTTTTAACGGTGACAGATGTAAATTATATTAATTATTTTTAAATTTTAAATTTTTTTTAAAAATACTTTGGTGACAACAATTTGTCGCCGTCAAAGTAAATTATATTAATTATTTTTTAATTTTTAAATTATTTTCTATAAAAATGTTTTTGGTGGCGATAAATGTTGCCACTAAAAGTAAATTATATTAATTATTTTTAATTTTTAATTTATTTTTTATAAAAATAATTTTGGCGGCGACATACTTTTGGCGGTAACTTTAATTTGTCGCCGCTAAAAATATAGTTTTGGTGACAATTTTTAACGATGACTTTTAACTTTCACACTTTTGGTGGCGACTTTCATTTGTTGCCATTAAAAGCGGTGACTTTGATTTGTCATCGTTAAAAATTATCTTTAAAAATTATATTTTTTTGTAGTGACTTTCATTCCCAGCTGCGTTTCTCACAATCACTGCGTCTTGAGGGATGATAAACATGCCCACCCATTCAAACCCGCCCGCACTAATGCGTGTAAAATAGGGAAAACCCATAAGCATTTTTATTCATGTCAAGTTGCGTCTTCTACTTTCCATCGCTTCTTTTGGCAACAAATAAAAAAAAGTTGCGTCTCCCAACACACCCCAATGACGTGAACTCATGGAAGACCATTTTGTCAAGTATTATTACAAGTCTTCGCGCGCGGTCAGTCAGAGACGAAAGCGACTGAAGGAGCCATGATCACTTTCCAGTCAAGTTTGCTTGGTAGATCAACATTGTTACTTGAGAAATTTAGCCCTACTCATCTCTTGTGCTTCGTTTCCACCATGAAGCTCTCTTCTCCTAAAGAGGTAATTCTGGTGAATATTCCAGTACTATTCCTTCTCTTTGTACTTCATTCTTCTGGTCACTCCCTTGATAGAATATCCCCAAACCAACCTCTCAAGGATGGCGATGTCTTGCTCTCTGATGGCGGAACCTTCGCCCTCGGCTTCTTTTACCCCAAACAACAATTCAAGAAAGCGCTTTGTTGGCGTATGGTTTAATAGAGTCTCCAAACAAACCCTTGTGTGGGTAGCTAACAGAGAGAATCCTCTTAACGATACTTGGTGGTGTTTTGTTGATTAATAAAAATGGGAACATTGTTCTCGTTCACAACGAAACGAATGTGAATGGACACCCCATTTGGTCTTCCAACATTTCGAGCACATTCTTTGGTGACACCTTTGCTAAGCTTCAAGACACGGGAAACTTTGTTTTAACCAGAAATGGAGGAGAACAGGAGGTTCAGTGGCAAAGCTTTGATTATCCCCATGATGCTCATATTTCGGTCATGAAACTTGCGGTGGATCGGAAAACTGGCTTCAATTGGGTTTATACATCATGGAAATCCCCAGATGACCCTGGGTTGGGGAACGTGAGTCTTATAATGGACCCAACAGGCTATCCTCAGGCGTTCATGTACATAAATGGAGCTCCATTTTGGCGAGGCGGGTCTTGGACTGGTCAAAGATTGAGTGGCATACCAGAAATGACAACCAACTTCATCTTCAACATCAGCTTTGTTGACAATGGAAGTGAAGTTTCCTTCACTTACTCAGTCATGGACCCTTCAATCTACATAAGAACGGTGGTGAACCATACAGGCCATGTGACCCGATCTATTTGGCAAGCTAAGGAAAACAAATGGCTCCAAATTTGGTTCACGCCAAGAGAGGATTGTGACAAATATCGTTGGTGCGGGTCAAATTGTAATTGTGATCCATATAATACATACACATTTGAATGTGTGTGCTTGCCCGGATTTGAACCCACCGTTAGAGTGGAGTATTAGAAACGGGTCGAGTGGGTGTGTGAGGAAAAAGAATGTGTCCACGTGCCAACGTGGGGAGGGATTTGTGAAGGTGTCACATGTGAAGGTGCCTGATACATCAAAGGCACGTGTAGATAAGAGTGAGAGTATGGATTTGAAAGGGTGTCGTGAGAAATGCCCAAGGGATTGTTCGTGTATGGCATACACGAGCGTAAATGAGGTCACACAAACTGGGTGCTTGACATGGCACACTGACATGGAAGATATTAGGACTTTCAATGGTGTGGGACAACATCTGTACGTGCGCGTTGACGCAGATGAACTAGGTACATGCTATATTCCTTCCCCCCCCCCCCAAAAAAAACTTCTTTTTGTTTTTTCTAATCAATCATCATCGTTAATATTAATCATTTTTTACACTTATAAGATTATAGTTAAAATACAGATATTAGATTATAGTTAAAATACACGCACACTATTAAAATTTTAAATTTTCTTTCAAGGATAGTTCTTCCCTGTTCACATGCCATACCACTTTAATATTAACCATAGAGGCCATACGAGAAGGAAAATAGGCCCTATTTGCTTTGTATGTATACAAGACTTCTCAGTTAAGGTGTGTTTTTATAATTGGCCAATGCCACCTACCATCTTGAATAATAGCATTGATCTTGTCAAATCTATTGAGGGCAAGATTAAAAATAGTTTTTATTTAATATTCATTATAATAATGTATTTAAAAAAACTCCTAAAATTAAAAATACAAACACACAATGAAAAAAAATCAAAGAAATATCAAAATATCAAAAAATTGAATATATAACTTTTTAAATACTATACAATAAACGTTCTTTTTCTAGTATCTGTATATAATATGTATCTTTTATTTTGGGATCATATTATTTATTTTTAATCAATAAAAAGGATATATATATATATATATGATATTTTGCTAATATATATTTTTGCTAATATATATATATATATATAACACTATATATTATCCAAGAAAATATATAGGGATTTTTAATTGTTTTATGTTTGAGGTTTATATAAGTTGAAGCAGTTGCCTTCTTCGATTCATCCTTATTGGGATTTCTCTTCCATTTCCAAGATTCCTCTTCCTCCAAACCAATGTTTTAAAAGCCGGATCAGACATTGAACTGAAAAATTCAACGGTTCTCAATTTTTATGGTCTAACATATTAGACTAGCAATTAGATCGGTGATGTAATAATTAAATAAAAATAATATTAAATATATATATAGAATAAATATAAGAAAAAAATCTATATTGTGTTAATAAAATGACATAACATGACCATAAATTAATAGTATTATAAATTATAATTTTATAATTTTTCAAATATATGTGGATCTTGATTAAGTTAGATATAAGTAGACTTAAAAATATATGCATTTACACCTATAACTATTAACATCTTTATAAAAAAAAAGGGTCTCAAATTATACTTTATATATGTGAATTATTCAAAAATAAAATTGGCTTTTCATAGAATCTAATTTTTGAATTTTTTTATTTTTCTTACATTTTTAAGCTTTTTTCAATATTATGTTTAAAATTGTTCAGTTTTCCAAAAATCGCTCCGGTTTTTATTTCAACTTCAATTTATAGCTTAATAGCAACTCAATTCTAATCTAGTTGATGGTCCAACCAATCTAACCATCTAGTTTGGTCCATTTTTAAAACAATGCTCCAACCTATGTTTGGCATTTTCACTTTCATAATTTTTCTAAAACTATTGTACTAAACAAAGGGTCAAATTTAAGGATTCGGGATGGTTAGAAGTGTTTAGAGGCGTGAGGTTTGGTCGAAAATGAAATCTTGAACAAACTAATTGATATGGAATTAGTGGAAATGGAAGATGAAATCACACAACTAAAAAAAAAAAGCTTTTTCAAAGCATTTATTTTTGGTCTGCACAGCGCTTTCATATATATGGGAGCACTTTAAAAGCTCTCCTGAAAGGGAGGCCTATAAGAGTGCTTTTGGAACAAGTACTATTGTAGGTTTCTTCATGATTACTTCCTTGGAAGCCTATAGGAGCACTTCTATGTGGAAAGCTCTCTCATAGCTATTGTTATTTAAAAAAATATTTTTTTTACATTTCCTCCTACAACTCATTTACAAATGACTAATATCCAACAACATCAAAAACCAATCTAGCAAAAATTCAACAGTATTGCAAAGCATGTAATACATGTATTCAACTAAAGAACCTGCAAAACAAACTTACATTATTGTTCTAACTTATCTACTCTATCAAATCAAACTTTTGGTATTTTTTTAAGACTAGGAGTTGCCTCTCACAAAATACCAATTACATGTTTTGACCCATCCTCAATTACATCTTCAATTCATCCATAGTAAAATGCAAAGACCTTGTTCTAGCAAAATACTAAAAGAGAAAACAACATATAATATAATCAATAATAGGGTTAAAGGGCAAAAATGCCTTGACATATTTTCATAAGTGGTGCCTGGTATCCTAAGGTTTTTGCTAGAATAATATTACCCCTGAACTTTTAAAAAGGGTGCAATATCACCCTATCTTTAACCCTAACTAATGTTGATCATTAAATGTTCCACCTATGGCAAGAGAGGAAAAATTCTAAATACTTTCAGCATAATTGAATTAGTTCATCACTATGTGCTTAAAAGCCAAACACAAAATACATTGTGTGCTTACAACTTTCTCACCTATGGACCCCACATAAGCATAAATAATAAATTGATAGGAAATTAACATGGAAATATTTAATAGCCTATCAATACTCCTTCCTTAACAACATTCTTTCTTTAGATACTGGCACCCAAGAGAGGAATGAATTGGGTAACACTAAATTTTTCTACAAAAACTTAATGAAGAGGAAGATAGAAGCAAGGATAGAAAAAATTAGACACAAGAAATTTAGCCTAGTTCAGCCTAAAACTTGGCCTACGTTCAGTCCTTAAGATCACCCTTGAGATTTTTAACTAATCTCATAAGTTTTAATGGGTGCTTGCAACTACAGTACAACTCTCAAGACTTAACTTGTCTTAATTCAACAACAAACCTTGTTATAACTTGCAAGTTGTTACATAACACTTGAAAAATACCTTTTCAAGATTTCAGCTAAAGTAAAAAACTCTCAAAGAAGAAAGAGTAGATTGATCACAGTTGAAAGCTTATAAACTTATGAGAGCTTTTTAAAAACTTTATCAAGTATGATAAATGGATGCAAGACATTAATGTACAGTTTAAAGCTTTTTAGAATGCTCAAAAGATTAATAGTTCACTCAAAGATTAAGATTCTTGTTTTAGATTTGAATTATATCACACATATAGTTTTGGTAGTTAATAGACCATTGGAACAATGTTTGTAGTTATTGGTGACATTCCTTGCATAGAATTAGATGATTCACGCGTGAAATGGAGCTAGCCAAGTTTTAGACATGCATATATGACAATTCAAGCATGAACACTAGGGTGACTCATGTGTGTTTTCAAGGAAAAGAATATGCAAACCATGCTGTATGACAGAACAAGTGTGTGACCCTCAGGTTCTCACTTGTGAATTAGTTGGCAAAAAGCCACAGCTAATTTTGTATTATGAGTCACACATGGAACCATCATACTACCATGCATGGAATAGCTAGTTACAAAACTCAGTCCATTGAGAAGAAAAATCATGTGTGGAACACTTTATCACACGTGTGAAATGGCTAGTAATAAAACTAAGCCATTTTGTGACACATCAAATACCTAGAGATGAATTCAATCACATCTCACTTCATTCCATGCCACCACTACTGCTTCTTCATGTCTTAGTACATCTTAGTGGCACCATGGTGGATTGTTAGCTTACTCATGTGGGCTTCTAATAGAATGGTCTCTCTAATTTCTTTGTCATTTGGAACATGCATTTGGTCATGATACAACACAAAACCATCATTGTTGAATCCAAAAGCCACCGTCCGATTCTCCTCAATGTCTTCCTGAATCTCTAACAAGTACTAATTTTTCAACTAGGCTTTTCTCAACTCTTTTCAAAATTCACTTGTGATTACCATGACATTCAAGTTGTATGATGTAAAATTAGGGACATTCTTGTGCTTATTAGAGAAATCCTCTAGCATTTTTGCTCGTGCATTATCATGTATGCTACATATAGCATTTTTTGACTCAATGCATTAGCTACTACATTAGCCTTCCTTGGATGGTACTTCAACTCAAAATTTTAGTCTTTTAGGAACTCCATCCATCTCCGCTATCTCATATTCAGCTCTTTCTGGTCAACTAGATACTTGAGACTCTTATGGTCATTGTAAACCTTAAACTGCACACCATACAGATAATGTCTCCATATTTTAAGCGTAAACAACACTGCCGCAAGCTTAAGATCATGGTAGGATAGTTCTCCTCGTGTGATCTTAACTACCTTGAAGCATACACCACAACTCTATCATCTTGCATTAGTACACACCCAAGACCTTTAAGCGAAGCATATACATATACCACAAATGGCCATTTTAGGTCAGGGATAGTCAACAGAGGTGCAATTGTCAACCTTTCCTTCAACCCTTAAAAAACCTCTTTACACTTGTTAGTCTATAAGAAAGGTTATCTTTCTTAGTCAGTTTGGTCAAAGCAGAGGCAATTGAGAAAATCCTTGAAAAATCTCCTGTAGTACCCTACTAGACCCAAGAAGCTTTGAATCTCTATCATAAAGGTTGGTCTTTCCCATTGTAGTACCGCATCAACCTTGTGAGGATCAATTGCAATACCATTAGCTGACACTACGTGACCTATAAACTTCACCTCACGCAACTAGAACTCACATTTGCTCAATTTCGCGTAAAGCTTCTTCTCTTTTAGGATTTGTAACACAATCCTTAAAATGCTTAAATGTTCCTCCTTATCAACTGAATAGATTAGAACGTCATCTATAAAGATCATCATAAACTTGTCCAAGTAAGGTCTAAAGATTCGGTTCATGTAATTCATAAAGATTGCTAGCGCATTGGTCAGTCTGAAGGGCATAACTAGAAACTCATAGTGCCTATATCTAGTTTTGAAAATAGTCTTCAGCACATCATCTATTTTCACTCTTAACTAGTGATAGATGGATCTCAAGTCGATCTTAGAGAACACTGCTGGTTAAGCCAACTGATCTAATAAGTCATTAATTCAGGGTAACGGATACTTATTCTTGATTGTTACCTTATTCAGTTGTCAATAGTCTATACATAATCTCATGCCACCATCTTTCTTCTTGAAAAACTAAATAGGCGAACCCTAAGGTGAAACACTCGATCTAAACAG